CACGCTAAGCGCGGTCAGCAAAATAGAGGCAAAATCCTAGAAAGCGCGCTAAGCGCGACAGCAGGCCGCTTAGTGCGGTTGAAGGCTTTAACTATTGCCTCACCAGCAAAAACGCGCTAGAACCGCGCTAAGCGCGGGTTACCAACACGATCGCTTTGAAAATGATCTTTTAGGCCTTCCTTCCTTCACCATAGGTTCCTATCATCAAATATAAACAAGAAGACCTGTCAAAAAGTATCAAAATGACCATAATTCACAATATTTACATAAAATCGGAAACTTACATATTTACACTAAAACTAATAGATTTACGACTAAAATACCAAGGAAACCATTGGAAAGGGCCATAAAATATAATCAAAAGTATGCACAATTTGGCGCTTAACATAAACTTCTGAGTCTCCCATCTTAACACAACACCCATCCTCGATGGATCCATAACTATACCACCACTATAAATCACATGACCAAGGAAACTCACTTCTCGCAACCAGAACTCGCACTTGGACAACTTCACATACAACTCCTTCTCTTTCAAAGTCTACAATACCATTCTCAGATGCTCCACGTGCTCTTCATCAGGCTTTGAATATATCAAAATGTTGTTGATGGACACAACCACAAACTGATCTAAGTACGAATTAAGTATTCTATTCATGTATTCCATGAACACTCTAGGTGCATTAGATACACCAAACGACATCACGCAATACTCGTAATGACCATAATTCATCCTGAAAGTTGACTTTGTAATATCTTCTAGCTTCACACAAATCTGATGGTAACTTGGACGTAATAAATCTTGCTGAAAACACAAGCGCCAACCAACTGGTCTTTTTTGTCTAATTAACAACGAATTTAGCGATCGACTTTTGGATTTTTCCGTCGCTAATTAGACGAAAATGACTAACCTGACACATTTTGAAGAGTTAAGGAACCAATATCCGTCGCTGAAGGATATTTTTCCTTTTTAAATTTTTTTTCTTAATTTATTTTAATTAATAAATTACTACTATTCTAAATTTAATCTAGATTTTCTCCCCACCCTTAACAATACTAACCATACACTCCCCAACACTTATTTATTTAATTAAACACATAGTAATTAATTAAAATACACATAATATAAATAATTACTTAACAATTCACAAACAATTCAATAAAAATAATTTAATCGAAATTGGGGTGTTACAGTAAACATCTCTCAATTTGAGTCAACCTCATTAAAATATATCTCTCCATTTTTCTTTAGGACTTGCACCTCAAACTCATTATCTTTTGGATCCCGAAGAATCACATAGGTGCAATCTTCTCTCCAAATTCTTTAGCAAAACACAAAAGAAGTTTTTCCATTGAATGTGTTTTATAAAATACAATTAATTAGAAAATAATAAAGCAAACAATAAATATAGATAACACATGCTAAAATATGCTTGTAGATTTAAAATAGAATGCAAGGAACTGCATTCTGGTCATGGAAGCAAATATAATGCATGCACTGAAAATATAATGCAAGCAAACAAATCTAGCAAACATTATGAAAAAAACAATATGCAAGCAACTTGTATTTGTAAACATAATCAATTTATAGGAGAAGATACACACATCACTTACATTATGGTTGTCAAACTCTGTATGATATATTTGCATTTTTGCAAAGCAAATTCATTATATGATTGTTGTGCTCATCGTCAATAATATTTACAACTTTTATATCGAGAAACTTTTCACTAACTTTCTGTTCATGATATGTTTGCATTCTTGCAAGCAAATTCATTATACGAGTGTTGTGCTCATCATCAATAATATTTGCAACTTTTATATCGAGAAATTTTTCATCAACTTTCTGTTCGAGAAACTTTGCATTTTTTCAAAAGGGTTATTTGAAGCTATTGAATTTCTTCAAATAGTTTATGTTTATTTGTTAAAAGTTGTAGGTAATAGAGAGGGCAATAGTAAGTGTGTGATAAAACATTCATTTATATAGGAATCATTGGACATTTCATTTTAAGAATCATTTATTGATATTGCTAAGTCATTTTTTATTCATTTCTAAAATTTAAAATTTAAAATTCAAATAGGTGTCATCATTATATGAGATTAAGGAGGGAAAATGATTATTTAGGGTTTGCAATCAGACCTTATTAATTTTATTATAATAAAGATAAAGATAAAAATGACATATTGGAGTTTTTCGAACATCTAATTTTCTTCTACATGTGAAAATAATTATTTTGATTTACAATAGCAAACAACAATAATTTTTTGAGTTTAATGTATATGCATTGACAATATAAAATAGTTTTACAGTATCATTCAATAGAAATTTATCATTTAGTCATGTCATACAATTAATTTAAAAATTAAAGTTTAATATGGCATAATGCATGATTGGGATTGATTGACTTATTTTACATTGTCGTGTGCATGTTCCATTTTCTCTAATATTTTAGATTTAAATGCACTTTTGGTCCCCCTAATTTGATGTTTTTTTTAAACTTTTAGTCCCTTCATTTTAAAAATAAGCTTTTTGGTCCCTCAACTTTACTACCCTTGAGATTTCATAGTCCCCTTCCAATTTTAATGACATGATGATTATGACCGAAATTAATTTTTTAATGACATGACATGAATGAGTAGGATAATTGAATATTTATTATTGTTATGATTATGATTATTATTATTATTATTTTAAAGAATTAATTAATACTTAATCATTCTATCATTATTATTAAGTTTTTTAAATATTAAATAATTAAATTGTGAAAAGTAAATGTTGGACCTTAACCTAATTCATCACATGTCAGTCCAACTATCTAATTACAAAATTGATGCTAGTGTAACATGTATAAACACTTAAGCAAACTAAAACCAAAACAATGTGGGACTCAACTTACCACTTGAAGTTGCTGGATCAGTTCCATAACTCTTCTTCTTCTTCATCATCATCAACAACAAACTTCCCATAAACTCAACTTAACTTAAATTTCCATAAACTCAACTCACCTTATATCACTAAGGAAAATATGCAGATAAAACAATAGTTATACATTTCCATGGTTCTCTTTGTTAAAACACGATGTCTTGTTCTGAAGAATTGTCGGATCGAGAGATCACTGGCTTCATAAGGACCAACCATTGAAGTTGTTTTTCTTCATAAATGTTACTGGTTTTTTAATCCACTAACTATGAATACTTCTTTCCTCCCAGCAGTGGCTTTGAATCCACTAACCGTGGATACTTCTTCATAGGGATCAACCATTGAAGTTGTTCTTCTTCATAGGTTTTAATGACTTGTATATCAAAAGGAACATTTGTTTCAGATGTGCAAACACACATTTCTTTCGGAAAACGCACAATTATTTATTTCTTTCTTACAAAAAGAAATTTGTACACACCTTGGTGAATTGTTTCATGCTTATTCTTATTACTGAATATATATCGTTTTACAAATGACATGAAAACATCAGTAAAAAAACTATCTGTTTAAATAATTATCTACCACGGATCTTAAGGGATTCAGGTGGTTCCTATTCTATTATGCTAGAACCAGTGATCTTCAAGTACTCGCGAATAGTTGTTTTGCAGTCAGCAAGGTAGGTATGATCTAGAAAATTGTTGTAAGTTGTGTCACCGAGATTCTTTACTGCTAGTACACTACAAAATAAATGGTTTGCTTAGTTATTATTTTATTTGATCTCTTAAATCATAAACTTTCATCCAAAACATGCTTACCAGTGTCGAAGTTATATGTGACAGGGAAAAACATCATCTCTCCAAATATTATCAATTTTCCACCTTCCATATTGCTGAAACAAAATTTCTTTGTTTTCTGAACATAATCAAAATACGAACTGTCATATAGTGGACCATTACTTTCTTATACTTACTAATCAATAAGGAACAAAGAATCAATTATCTTTACATCTAATGTTAAAAATCTCCTCATCACTATAACGAGCACAAAGGATTTGAGAAAAAAAACACATTTACTAATTAAACAAACAATGTTCTTATAATGCAATAACCATATAAATCAGAATAATCACCACATACCGCTTGAAAGTCATAAAATTTTATGAAAACTTTGTTGTTGACGAAGAAGAATAATTATGGAATTGGTGCAGTAGCTTCAAGTGGTAAGCTGAGTCCCACATTGTTTGAGTTTTCGTTTACTTAAGTGTTTATATATATTACACTAACATTAATTTGTAATGGAATAGTTGGGCTGACAGATGATGAATTGAACTGAGGCCTAATGTTTACTTTTCATAATAATAATAAATAAGAATTTATTTTACTCATCCATGCCACATTATTAAAAATTTGTTTTTAGTCCTAATTATTTATGTTACATTAGCAAAATTAGAGGGGACTATGAAAATTTCAACGATAATAAAATTGAGGAAAAAAATTAATTTTTAAAATGAAAGGGGTAAGAATAAAAATTAAAAAACATAGGAAAAAATGCATTTAAGTATTTTTTTTTTATTTTATCATTCCATTTTATAAAAAAAAAAAATGGGAGTTGGTGACCCTGGCAACCGGCAAACCGCACTCCACTTCAACACTGCTCCCTCCGTTTAACGGCATACTCAAGTTACAAAGAAAGAGAGACACATAAACGAGCGACCTCTCATCTTGCAGATTTGCGATTCCACTTTTGAGCCTTAGCCACATTCAATCACGGTCGCCGTCGGAGATTCGCTGTTTCAACAGTTTAGCATCCTGTAAGTTCACTTTATCAAGCTGAGAGTGGGAAATAGGGATTTATCGATTAAATTATGTATTTAAGCATTTCGTATATCACTTGTTTGCTCAAATGTCTTGATGAATATCAAACTGTGTCAAGTTCTTCTCATGGTTTATCACATGTTTGTTCCAATGTCTTAATGATCTCACTCACATTTTTTTTTGGTTATTATTTTCATCTACTAATTTGATTTGCTCTGGGCCTCCATTTTGACATACACAAGGCTGAAAGAAAGAGAGACATCAACATGGGAACATCAGTGCAAGTAACACCACTTTGTGGAGTGTACAATGAAAACCCTCTCTCTTACTTGGTTTCCATTGATGGCTTCAACTTCCTTATTGACTGTGGTTGGAATGACCACTTTGACTCTTCCCTCCTTCAACCCCTTTCCAGGTTCCTCTCTTTATTGTCTGTTGTTAGGCACAACCATGGTTTTAAATTGTGGTTCTCGTTACATTGCAAATGCTTATATCGAGGTAGAACACAAGCAAATGCGCCGTGATGCTATTGCCAATACCTCTTAAACCATTATATTACGACCGTAATTGCAGTTGCATTCCACAATTTAGAACCATGGGCGCAAGAAGTAGATGGAGGGAGACACTTTGTTTTTTTCTTTTTTTTTTGTAAATGTTAAAGGAATTGTTGTTTAATATATATATGTTTGTGTTTCTATTTGTTTTGTTTTCTTATTGAGGTTGTGTGGCTAACATGTAGGGTAGCATCAACTATAGATGCCGTTTTACTTTCACATCCTGACACACTTCACCTTGGTGCCTTACCCTATGCCATGAAGCAGCTTGGACTCTCTGCTCCTGTTTATTCAACTGAGCCTGTCTATAGAATGGGACTTCTCACTATGTATGACCAGTTCCTCTCAAGAAAGGTGAAATTCCATTCTACTTTGTTTTTCCGGTGTCCTCGTCTGTAAGCTTGCACATTTAGAATTTTGGAAAATGTACATGTTATTCAGCGAAGTGGTTTGACTGATATATCTAATTCTTTTGCAGCAAGTATCGGAGTTTGATTTGTTTACTCTAGATGATATTGATTCTGCTTTCCAAAGTGTAACAAGGCTAACATACTCTCAGAATCATCACCTCTCTGGTAAGCATTTAAATGTGATATATTTAGGCGGTGGTAATTTTCCAAAATTGAAAACATACAGGGTACCTTCCTAGAGTACCAATATTGAAGGGGTTATTTACCATGCCACATGATGGAAAAATATTTTTCCCTTCATCATTAGTGGTAGGGCCCCGAATGGATACAACTTTCCATGTCATCTATGTTTTGTGCCTAGAAATATTTGTGTAAGCATTGGAATTTTTTTATCAAGGCTAGAATGATTAAATTTGAAAATCACTTTATTTATAAACAGTCTTGAATTTAATTTTTATTTGGAGCTTTGTAATAAATTTTATAAATATATGAATCCACTAATTCAAAGTATCTTGCTAGTTTAAAATTTTAAATCTAGAACACCATTATCACATTTTTGCATATACTTTGTGTTATCTAAACAGTTTCCTCTATATGAAATACACCCTCTGGTCCTATTTATAAGAAAAAAGTTTATTTTTTAGATTCATTGAATAACCAATGTATAGACTTAGACACATTGGTTATTCAATGAATCGAAAAAGTAAATTTTTTCTTATAAATAGTACCAGAGAGGGAGTATTTATTAATGCCTTAAAAGTTAGAGTAATATAAATGTATAACATGATTGCTACTTTGAAATTAAATTATGCATTGCCAGTGCGTAAAAAAATTATGAGAAGATGTTGTTGAATTTTTATGAAAGAGGGACTAATGTTGCTTTGGTCTTTTCTGATTCTTTTGATACACTTTCCATTCCACCTTGTTGAACAATTTTGAAATAGCCCCCCTTACTTTATGTGTTTGTTACCTTCAATGGCATTTTAACCACTACTAGGCAAGGGAGAGGGAATTGTGATTGCACCACATGTTGCTGGACATCTTTTGGGAGGCACGATATGGAAAATTACAAAGGATGGTGAGGACGTCATATATGCTGTTGATTTCAATCACAGGAAAGAAAGGTAAACCTTAACTTAAGTTGTCCAAATTTGATCTTATATATTCTTGGCAAACAGAAAGGAAGCTACTTATCAATCTAATTTTCATTAGGCATTTGAATGGAACTATTCTAGGTTCCTTTGTGCGGCCAGCTGTTCTAATAACTGATGCTTATAATGCTTTGAACAATCAGCCTTACCGGCGTCAAAAGGACAAAGAATTTGGAGGTAATTAACTTTTAAATCATATAAGGGTAACTCTGTGACAGAACAGAACTAAGATGGACTTTTTCAATTTTTGTTTTCTCAAATTACTGTTAACAACATTAAAAAATGTGGGCATGCATGCCCTGAAAAATCTTGATCACGAAACGGGAAAACTGTCTCAACTATTTGTGTTTTTCTTTCTTTTCTGATCATATATATCATTGGTTATTTAGATGTCTTAAAGACGACTCTAAGGGCAGGTGGAAATGTGTTACTACCTGTTGATACCGCTGGACGAATATTAGAACTCGTTCTGATGTTGGAATCGGTCAGTACAAGAAAATAATTCTGCATTTATTCTTTCTTCTGTTTTTTTTCTTCCTGAATGTATGTGCGTGGGTTGACATCAGATCTTGGTGTTTGCAGTATTGGGCGGATGAAAACTTGAACTATCCTATATACTTTCTTACATATGTTGCATCCAGCACTATTGATTATGTGAAGAGTTTCCTTGAGTGGATGAGTGATTCCATAGCAAAGTCTTTTGAACAAACACGTGAAAATATATTTCTTTTGAAGTAAGTGACGTCTTCCTTAACTTATGTTGGGAGTAAGATAGTCATATTTCAATTCTTGGGAATGTTACCTTTCCTCCTTATTACCTGTGATTTCAAACTCACAATTACAATTAGTTTCTTGTTTCTGTTCAATCATGGGTGAAAAATGAGCTTTAATAACCTGCAGGTTGGGAGACCGAGAGGGTCTTTCTTACTTATTTATCCAACAAGTAGTGAATCTCCTCATATTTTAGTTACTATATTTATCTCGTGTGTAAAATAAACTGTAATGTTTACCTGCAGAAATATCACACTTCTGGTTAACAAGACTGATCTTGACAATGCTCCCGAAGGTCCAAAGGTTGAATAATTTGTATGCTTATTTTTTTTCATCCGACCTTCTGCCTTACTGATTCTGATACATGTATATTGTATAGGTTGTTCTTGCATCCATGGCAAGTTTGGAAGCAGGTTTTTCACACGATATATTTGTTGATTGGGGAAATGATGTCAAAAATCTTGTGTTTTTTACAGAAAGAGGCCAGGTATACGACACTCCTTAGGAAAAAATATTACTCATGCATCTATGTGTTTTAGTATTCTTGTGATAGAATTTCATTGGAAAAACTCCTACCCTAGTATAAGGGAACCCAAAGGGCAGGGAAGCAAGAGTGCTTACAACAAAATACTCTAGGGTTAGAGATTACTCAACTAAATAAACAACTAACTCCTTATACATTTGGCCCCACTGTGTTGCTCACGTGGTTGAGGCCTTGAGCTGGGACATCCCGAAGAGTTCGAGTAGCAGGTCCAAAGTTCAAACTCTGGCTACTAACATAACATACTAACAACTCCCAATAATGCACTCATCTGAATCTAACGAACGCTCTTTTCAATCACTCGCTCGCTCAACTTATTTCCCATATTTTTCATTTTTATTATCTGTGTTTTGACTTTTAGTACACTGTATCTTTTATCCCAGTAGCCCTGATTAATATTTCAATTTTTTTGATAAAAGAAATGCTATATATTTATGCAAATGATGCTTAAGAGTTTTGTTTAATTTTTTCCGGGGAAGTGAGAATGGAAAAAGGATCAATAGGTTGCCACTTATTTTTGTTTGTGATGTATTTTCTTTAAAGGATTAATTTTGATACACTGTGAAGTATAGACAAATCATGTTTTGTATAATTTCTTAAGGTAGATACATTAAAATATTTTTAGTGATCCAACAATTATTATTGATTGGCAATGTAAAAGATATTTACAATGTCAATGCAAATCAATTAAATAATTTGTTTAGTGATCCGACAATTTTTATGTTAATGTTTCAATGCATAGTTTGGCACGCTAGCTCGGATGCTTCAGGCTGATCCACCTCCAAAAGCTGTCAAAGTCACTGTGTCCGAACGGGTTCCTTTGGTTGGCGAGGAGCTAATTGCATATGAGGAAGAGCAAAACCGAATAAAGAAAGAAGAAGCTTTAAAAGCTAGTCTTATAAAAGAGGAAGGGTTGAAAGCCTCTCAAGGGGCTGATAATAATACTACTGATCCTATGGTCATTGATACCGGCAATAATCAACCATCACCAGAAGGTATGAATTATATAAATTAAAGTATGTTGGAGCCAATCTTCAGAAGTGTTTTCCTTTTCTTGTTTTGCTTTAACTACAAGATATGACAATTTTTTTGTTGTCAGGAATCAGAATCCCATATGAGAAATGTGGGCCAAATGAGCTGTTAGCACAGTAGCAAACCCCTAGTTCAGTATCCATCAGATTTATGCTAGAACTAGAAGGTATAGGAAAGATCAGAGTGTGTTTACTGGGACTATCCACATGGCAGAGAGTGTGAGGGAAGTCACACGGGTAGAGTTATATAGGAACTGGAGGAGAGAGGAATAGTATCTTTGGAACATGATTTGGATTAGATATGGGCAGAGAATATTGTTCTGTGTAGGAACTTGGCTCTAGGGGCATTAGGATATTCATCCTTTTGCAAGTTATCTTTCACTTTCAGAAATAATATACTCTTTTATTTTCATTATTGATATATTTTTCTCCGATTTACTGCATTTGTAATCCGGATTCGCATCAAATTTGGTGTTGTTTTCATGTTATGCATTCACTTAGGCATTTAGAATCATCCGCATGCGTTTCCTCTTATCATAATAATTTTTTTGTTTTAACGGTCATTTTGGCTCATGTATATTTGAAAATTTTCTACTATTATTAGCTGAATCTATTCATCTTCAACTGGATTTATGTCTTGAGAAGTGCTACTTATTTTGAGTGCCAAAACAACTGAATTAATAACTTCATCTATTCCCTTGTGTTACAAAACAAAACAACCACCTAAATCTATTAATTAAACCACTTTTATTTTTGAGATTCCAAATTTCTGAGACAATAACATTATTTTATGAACCTGCTAATGTATTATAATAATATGTCGATAGTCCCACACCAGACAAAATATGGTCTGAATATATGTTTATAGGTGGAAGAGTAATCCCTCCCTTACAAGCCAATTTTAAAAGGTTGTGTTAGGTCCAACACAATTCGAAGATGGTATTAGAGCCTGTTTCAAGATCCGTTGGGTGTGTCAATATATGACCTGCATATATATTTATAAGTGGGCGAAATTCTCACCTTACAAGCCGGTTTTGTATGGTAGTGTTAGACCCAACCATAATTCTAAGACAATGCAATTTGTAAACTATAATCATGTTTTATTTATATATATATAATGCATCTCCCGAAAATGCTTTGGATTTTATTTATTTATTTTACACTGTTTCTTTAAATCCCTTAAGTTGTTTAATTTACACCTGCAGTGGCTGTTGCAAAAAATCTCCCGAAAATGCTTTGGATTTTATTTATTTATTTTACACTGTTTCTTTAAATCCCTTAAGTTGTTTAATTTACACCTGCAGTGGCTGTTGCAAAAAATGGAGGATACAGAGATGTATTTGTTGATGGATTTGTCCCTCCTTCAACCAGTGTTGCCCCAATGTTCCCCTGTTATGAGAATGCATCAGAATGGGATGATTTTGGTGAAGTCATAAATCCAGATGATTATGTAATTAAGGAGGAAGACATGGATCAGACAGCAAACAATGTAACTTTCCTTTTAAAAATATAAACCTCGTGACCTCCTAGTTTCAACATAAATGTCTATTTCACCGTTAAATATAGAAGTAGTGTTTATATCATTTTTCTGTTCTGAGTTATCACATTTTAATAGATGGAATATGATGAATTTATTTATCATGTGAAGACTTTTCAAACACAATGCTTACTAACATAAAAAAAAGCCCGGTGCTATAAAACTTCCACCTTACAGGGTCCAAGGAAGAGTAGAGTCCGTTATGACTCACTAGTCTATAGCAGACAATCTTATAAAGATTAATGACGTCATTGGATCAAAAAGGAGGAGGAAACCTTATAATGGATAAAATATGATACATTCTAGCTTTATGGAAAAGCTACTCTTTAACTGTTTTTTCCATGATTTTTATATGGAATATGACACCTTCGTTTTCTAACCATGCAAATATTTGCTGTAATCCAAGTTTTCTTATTGGTGACTGGAAACTTTTGCTGGTATTTGATTTCAACCCTATTTTATGAATAATAATTGATTATCATTTATCTACTTTTTCTATTAGTTAGGTGGTGATATAAATGGAAAACTGGATGAAGGTGCTGCAAGTTTGATATTTGATACAAAGCCGTCAAAAGTTATATCTGATGAAAGGACGGTAAGCTTGAGTATCTTTTTCTTAAATTTTTATGTTTCCTGTTCTTATGATTAGTAACTGTGTTGGGGGAGTTTTTCACTAGGGAGCATTGAACATTGTGAGATTTTTTTAGAGCATTGAACATTGTATGGGTTCTCCCACTTATAAATGCTCAAGTCTCCACATTTCCAACCAATGCGGGACTATTATCCACACTACTCACACTTGTCACATTTTTAACACTACCCCTTAAATGTGAGTCCACAATGCTCTTCCTCAAGTGGAAGTTCTTCTTACTTCCACAAACTCTTGTACCGCACAAAACGTTTCTTACTCACCACTTTTGTGGCGCCGTTGACACTCTTTAACAGACACAAAACGTTTCTTACTCACCACTTTTGTGGCGCCGTTGACACTCTTTAACAGAATGTTTCTTACTCACCATCTTTGTGGTGCCGTTGACTTTTGATACAAGTAAGCCGGTCTCTTTTTTAAACCAAAGACTCATGATACAATGTTAAGCAATGTGGTTGGGTCTAACTCAACCCTACAAAACCGGTTTGTAGGGTGAGGATTGCCCCCATTTATAAACACATGTTTACTCCTTAGATTGTTCGATGTGAGACTCTTAACACTCCCTCTCACGTCTGGGGCGTGGAACTAAATGGTGGGTGGTCCATTGGATCTTAAACGTGACTCTAATACCATGTGTTGGGGGAGTTTTTCACTAGGGAGCATTGAACATTGTGAGACTTCTTTCTTTAAAGCAACACTTTTATGAGAGACACAACACATATTCACCCAAAATCTTAAGGTGATAGGTGTGTGGGTTCTCCCACTTATAAATGCTCAAGTCTCTTCATTTCCAACCAATATAGGACTATTACCCACAGTACTCACATTTGTTAACATTCTCAACAACTTTAGGTAATTGCATTTGAATTTATTACTATTGTATTCAGAAATTGATTGGATGAATGAAGTTGAAAGTTTATTACTTTCACATAAATTAAAAATCTCCCCGTTTTTGATATTTTACAAAAGATGCTATTATGTCTTTTTTTTGACATTCGTATTAGTCCTGCAACTGATTTTTCCCAAACCATTTATTTGCTCCTTAGTTGGATTATGGTCTCAGATGAAAGTTTATCTTACAATAGGTTACAGAGTTGGTACAATATTTCATGATTTATCAGAATTCTAATATAGTATCAAAGTCTATCGTTAGATGTATTGGGCCACCCGCTATTTGGCCGCTCGGGTCACTGATAGGAATGGATTGGATCCCACAAATGATGATGGGAATGTGTTAGTTAATAGAGATATTATTGGACCTGAACAATGGAGGGTATATGTGAGAAAGATTAGGAAACTCCACAAATAAATAGGAGTTAGTTTAGGTATTATTCTCCATATAAATAGGAGTTAGTTTAGGGATTATTCTCCATATAAAGAGGAGTGTATGGGGCAGTAGTTAGACATTAATTGATTTTCTGTTTTTGATATTAGGGTTTGGGCAGTGAGAGAATTGTTTCTCTGACTGAGGAGCAGTAACTCTGGAATTTATTTTGCTTTCACATTCATTAATAAAATACTTTTCTTTATCATATTATATCATACCTCTGTTCTATCAATTGGTCCGACCTACCATTGTTCATGCCCAAAGCTCCTAAGATGGCTGACCGTGTTTCTGCAGTGGAAGAAAGGTTGGAAGGTGTTGAGGCTAGCATTGCTGCGTTACGAGAGTTCATTGGTGCTGAGATTCAACGTGCAATGGCTCATCGTGAAGTGCCGCAGCCAAGCAGTGCGACAGTTTCCTCACCGCTGGATGAGTTTCGTTTATCTGCGAAGAAGGTGGAGTTGCCGACATTTACCGGTGACGATCCGGTTGCATGGATCACTTGGGCAGAGACATACTTTGAGGTACAACGAATTTTGCAGGATGTTCGTATTCAGTTGACCAAATTGAGTATGGAAGGCCCTACTATCCATTGGCTTAACCTATGGCATGATTCAACAGAGGAATTGTCATGGGAGAACCTCCGTGAGGCGATGATGGTTCGATTTGGAGGTGGGTGTTCGGAGAATCCGTTTGAAGAATTAAAGGAACTAAAACAATCGGGATCAGTAGAGGAATATATTGCTGAATTCGAACTGTATTCTTCACAGTGTGGTCGTTTGCCAGAACAACAGTTTCTAGGTTATTTCATTGGTGGTTTACGTCATGATATTCGTTCTCGTGTGTGTACCTTCAAGCCTCGCAACCGTTACCTAGCAATGCAATTGGCTCGTGATGTTGAAAGTGAGTTTGCAGTGGCTTCTGGACAGGGTTCTGGAGCACGTTACAAACCGGGTCATGGTTCTTGGACAAAATCTCAAAAGCCTAATTGGGCTTTTCGCGAAGGGGAAGGGAACAGATCTGCAACTCAGACCCAGACCCAGCCTAGTAATTCTTTGGGCCAAACGCGGATTGGTTCGGATTCTGGATCTCAAACCGTCTCAACACGTCCTACCAATTCTACAACATCTTCTCGCCCAAATTTAGGTGACAATTCATGCCGTCAATCTCGTGGTGTTCGCCATCTACCAGGTGCAGAGGTTAATGAGCGTCGTGCGAAAGGACTCTGTTTTCGTTGCAACGAACGATGGGATCCTCTCCATCAATGTGCAATAAGACAGTTACGATTGATTATCTTGGGGGATGACGAAATTGTTAACGATGCAGGAGAGATTGTGGTGTTGGAGGCTGCGACGGAAGAAGAGCTCACACAAGAGGAATTAGAATGTAAAACCATGGGGCTGTTTGGTGTATCCACTAATCCAAATCAGGTCCGAATGATGAAATTGGAGGGATGTTTACAAGGTGCATTAATTCCGGTACTTGTTGACAGTGGAGCCACACATAATTTCATATCACCTAAGGTGGTTGAAGCCCTGAGATTGTCTATGGTGCCTTCTAATCCTTTGGGTGTTAAGTTAGGAGATGGTCATCGTGTCCTAACTAGGGGTAGATGCAATGGAATTCAGATGAAAGTGGGATCAGTGCAAATTTGCTTTGATGCTTATGTGTTGGAGTTAGGAGGTGTGGATTTGATTTTAGGAGTTTGTGGCTAGAAACGTTGGGGAAGGTGACCATGGATTGGAAAGAAATGTCTATGGAGTTCAACCATAAAGACAGTATGGTGAAACTACTTGGTCAGGTTGTAGATGATAAGATGGCTACTTTCCAAAGCATTATCACTCCTTCTCGAACGATAGTAGGCTGTGAATGGCCTACCTTGATGGAGGTGTTAGGGTCACCGGTGTCGTGTGTCTCTGATCAACAGACTAAGGAGTTGGAAGGATTGCTAGAGCATTGTGTTATTGTGTTTAAAGAAATCCAAGGTCTTCCTCCGTCAAGAAACACTAGTCATTCAATTGAACTTTTACAGGGTGCGGGTCCGGTAAGTGTGCGACCTTACATATATCCTCATTTACACAAGGATGAAATTGAAAAACAGATTCAGAGCCTATTGCAACAAGGGGTGGTTAGAAACAGCACCGACGCTTTCTCTAGTCCTGTCATTTTGGTCAAGAAGAAGGATCAATCTTGGCGTATGTGTGTAGATTACCGTGCACTCAACAAGGTAACAATTCTGGACAAGTATCCTATTCTGGTTGTAGATGAATTGTTAGATGAGTTACATGGCTGTAGTTATTTCTCTAAGCTTGATCTTAAATCCGATTATCATCAAATTCGTATGAAGGAAGAGGATATTCATAAAACTGCTTTTCGAACTCATGAGGGTCACTATGAGTTTTTGGTAATGCCGTTTGGCCTCACCAATGCTCCTGCAACTTTTCAATCGGTGATGAATGCAATTTTCAAGCCCTTTCTAAGGAAGTTTGTCCTGGTTTTTTTTGATGATATCCTAGTATACAGTAGTAGTTGGGCTGAACATTTACAGCACTTGGAGGTGGTTCTTAATATTCTGAAGCAGCATCAGTTTGTGGCAAATCGGAAGAAATGCACTTTCGGTCAGCACCAAGTGGAATATTTGGGCCATGTCATTTCCAAAGCAGGGGTTGTTGTTGATCCTGCCAAGGTCAGCAGTGTGTTACAATAGGAAGGGATGGATGTTGGAGATGCTACCTGGGAAGATGAACTGTTGCTGAAGAGTCAAGTCCCTGATCTGCGCCTTGAGGACAAGGATAATGTTGTAGGTGGGGGTGATGATAGGAATGGATCGGATCCCACAAATGATGATGGGAATGTGTTAGTTAATAGAGATATTATTGGACTTAAACAATGGAGGGTATATGTGAGAAAGAATAGGAAACTCCACAAATAAATAGGAGTTAGTTTAGGTATTATTCTCCATATAAATAGGAGTTAGTTTAGGGATTATTCTCCATATAAAGAGGAGTGTATGGGGCCGTAGTTAGGCATTGATTGATTTTCTGTTTTTGATATTAGGGTTTGGGCAGTGAGAGACTTGTTTCTCTGACTGAGGAGCAGTAGCTCTGGAATTTATTTTACTTTCACATTCATTAATAAAATACTTTTCTTTATCATATTATATCATACCTCTGTTCTATCAGTCACCGTCTAAATATCCAGCCTTGTATGTGAGAGGGGTGTTAAGAGTCCCACATTAGATGAGATATGACCTACAAATATGTTTATAAATGGGAGATATCCCTCAACCTAATAAGTCGGATTTGTAGGGTCGACCCAAATTCTAAGATGTATTTAGATTTGAGTTTGCAAAACACACTAGACCGGAAGTATTATTATGGGGCCACGAAGCTTGTTTTGATTGTGAATTTACACTTGCATTTCTTGTATTTATAATGTTGAGAAGTCCCACATTGAAAAGGATACGATCTCAATATATGTGTAGAGAAACATATGGGTGATAATTCTGTTTTATTATTATGAAAAAAAGGCTCCTTTTATAGGAGAGAAAATAGAAAATTAACTCCTTTATTTTAGGAGTAATATAAAGATACTTAAACAAGAACATAGCTAGTATTAAATA